TTAGGTAGAGTGAGCCCGAAGCACCTGACTGCTTCCTACCACAGCTTCCCCATGCTGGTGTGCTTATTTGTCTGGACTGCTACTCGATGGATAATGGAAGCAGAGTGCTTACTGCAGGACTAGGAGACAAACAGCACATGAGAGCAGCCCTTGGCAGAGTTGCTCTCATTCCTGGAAGGGGAGAGTAAGGAGAAAATTAGGACAGGGAGCCCTGGACCACCACGCTTCCCTGGAGTGGTGGGCTGGGTCTGTGATGGAGCCAAAGACCTGAGCTTTAGCAAGGGATTTTCATAATTAGTGATTTGGGTTGCTTATTCTCCTGTATGAAGTGTGGGTTACCTTTATGGATTCCCCTGTTTGGGGCTGGTTTTGATTAATCTTTTGTGAGTGTTAAGGTTTTCCTACTTTCTTGCCAGCTCATCTGGGACAGCTTATATGCACATCAGCCAGTTTCTACTCCTCTTACTAAGCTGATCAGCCTCAGGAGATCTGACTCAGACTTGGGCTCTGTGAATCTGGAGCAGAGTATCATGGAAATAATGGTTGGATGAGACTTCTAGAGCTGGTCATGGAAACACTGTCTCATGCTTCCAAGGTCCAAGAATGTAATACAGCTCTTTATTACTAATTAATTGGTAATTATTAATAACACATTAGTAAGACATTTGGAGGACTTCTTTAGTGCCACAGGTAAGTTTAAGTCTCTGGCTTAATGCTGTATAAATAAATATCTGATTTAAAACAAAATGATTTTGAATTTTCTTCTTTGAATTGAAACAATTTCTCATAATGGATTTTTTCCCAAGAACTTTCACATTTCCATTGGAACAGAAATTCTTCTTTTTGATTGCTTAAACGCTATTCTGAAACCTGGTCACTGGTGTGTGCTCAGCAGCAGCACTGCTTATGCTCTTTCCATACTCATTAGATGCTCTTTCTAGCAAATGTAGCTTCTGCTTCTAGTAAAAACTGTAAACATCCTCCTAGTCAGACATTTTCCACACTGAAATGGCCAAGGAATCACTGTTCTCACAGTAGCTCCATCAGCCACGATGCTCTCATGACTCTTAAAACACCTCTGCTTAACTTTATTTCCAGAGACCACTTATGATGCTGAACTAGGTCTCCCATATTCTGGATCTCTGATGCATCTCCAGATAATATATCTAGTCTTAAGGCTGGGCACAGATGCATGTTTCTATCTTTTGATGACAGCTGAAAAATGGACCACAATTGTTAACATGAGAATGCCAGAGATGCAGTGTTATTGCTAGCACAAAGCCAGCTCCATGTTAGAGAGAAAGGACGGCTCAGGAGGCTTTGTGTTAGCTGTTTCTACCTAACTTTGATCAAAGTTTGTGCAATTTCAACAGTATTTTTAATGTTGCTCTGACAGTAAAGAGACACAATTAGTATTTCACTTTTGTATCCAGTGACAAGGTGCATGGGAATGGTTCAAAGCTGCTCCAGGGAGATTTCGACTGGATATTAGGAAGCATTTCTTTACTGGGAGGGTGGTCAAACACTGAAACAGGCTTCCTAGAGAGGCAGCTGATGCTTCAAAGCTGTCAATGTTTAAGATGCATTTGGGCAATGCCCTTAATAGCACGCTTTAACTTCTGGTCAGCCCTGAATTGGTCAGGCAGTAGGACTCGATGATCATTGTAGGTCCCTTCCAACTGAAACAGTTGTATGCTATGCTATGCTATGCTATTAAAACATCATGAAAACTGGCATTTGCAATGCTTTATAAGCCATATTTAAAGGTCACTAGATGAAACAAGCCCATCTCATTCAATGACACTCTTACCAACTGCAACATTAGTAACTTCATGAACTCTAAACCAGCAAAATGCCCAATGAAGCAGCAATTTTAAAACAGTGCCCTTCTAAACCCTAGAACTGAAAATCCAAGATACTCCTGAAGATATTCAGGAGAAAGTCCTGTACACTGCACATCTTCCACTTTGTCTATAGAGTTCTTCATCTGAAGTATGACAGTACAGACAGCTTGGGAAATGATGCATTTTGAGATTGTCAGAAAAGCCAATTATATACAGTATGTTACCTGCAGTGCATTTATTCTTAAACATAGCATTGCATGTTGTATTTTCTCTGTCTTATCAGAACTAATCTTTTTCTCTTTGCTTTAATAGGTTTGCATATGTCTACGTCACTACCTGAATTTCTCCTTCCAGCCTACCATTGAAACGCACGGGATCCAACCACACATCCGGAAAACAAGGTTATACCTACCTGAGTGCATGGACTGAGGGCAGGTAAGAAATTCTACTGTATCAGAATGGGTATCTGTCAGAGTTCTGATAAATGTCCAGGTTTTTAAAGCATACCACACTTAGTAACCAGTTATAGCAACAGTGGGAGATTGGTGTGAAACGTTAAAAGAAGAAAACACTGTAATCTTGTACTAAGCAGAAAATTAGTTTTGCCCTCCTATTATTCTAACAGGCTGGCAAAACAGCCTTCATTTATGTTGTGTCTTTGAATATGCAAGCGATAAACAGAAGCCTATTTTTGTAGAAATAAATTCATTTTATAGTGCTCAAACGATTTGCACATCAACCACATTAGCAGCAACTGTACCTTCATTGTGCTACTGCCCTACTTAATGTTTCAGAAGATGTAAGATCTGATCCACCTTTTCATTGTGACTTCTACGTTTTGAGCATTATCCTTCAAGGGACAAAACTTCTTATGCCAAGACAGATATTTCTGGAACTAACCTGTCAGAAAAAGGATTTAGCTGTTACAGAGTATATTTTAGTGAAGATAAATATTAAATGACAAAGGTAATCTGCATTTCCCCAGCAGGCTACTGACAAAAATGGTTTTGGGTCCTCATGTCCTCTGATGGAGAATCTCATGTTATGGCTTCTGTGTGCACCAGATGTTTTGTACCCAATGTGGGCTTTTAAATTAACAAAAACTCCACACAACAATACAGTCCTGCATGGCTGTGTAAGAGGAATACCTTCCTAAGAAAGCATTATAAGAATAAAGATAATGTTTACTTCTGATACATCACCCAGGAAAACTTGTTATGGTAGCTAATGCAGGTAGCTGAACAAATTCTGTGTCTTCCTTATCTCAAGTAGGTGAGATTCTACTCCTCATGCACTTCTGTGTCAGGATCATCTCTCTGCCAAACTAACATCCTCAGAAAGCTGCCCCTGGCAATTCTTTCTGTTACTACAATGCTGTTTTCATAAAGCAATCAATCAAAATTATGAATTTTAAGATGATTATATAAAAGACAACTCTGAAGAAAAGAACACAGTATTGAGCATAAGGAGTTAAAAAATGAAGGGAATTTTGATTGTGATGTGTTATGATCCTGAACTTGTTCTTTTGCTATTCTCTACTGAATCATAGAATCATGGAATGGTTTGGGTTGGAAAAGACCTTAAGATCATCCAATTCCAACCCCCTGACATGGGCAGGGACATCTCACACTACACCATGTCCCTCAAGGCTCCACTAAACTGACCCTGAACACTGCCAGGGATGGAGCATTTACCACTTCTTGGGCAGCCCATTCCAGTGCCTCACCACCCCCAAAGTAAAGAACTTCTGCCTTAGATCTAACCTGAACTTCCCCTGTTTCAGTTTAAGCCCATCACCCCTTGTTCTATCACTACAGTCCCTGATGAAGAGTCCCTCTTCAGCATCTTTGTAGCCCCCTTCAGACACTGGAAGCTGCTCTGAAGTCTCCATGCAGCTTCTCTTCTCAGGCTGAACAGGCCCAACTTTCTCAAGCCTGTCTGCATACGGGAGGTGCTGCAGCCCCTGAGCATCCTCGTGGCCTCCTCTGGACTTGCTCCCACAGTTCCATGTCCTTTTTATGCTGAGGACATCAGAACTTCACACAATACTCCAAGTGAGGTCTCACAAGAACAGAGGGGCAGAATTACCTCCTTCGACCTGCTGGTCACGCTGCTTTTGATGCAGCCCAGGACACGGTTGGTTTCTGGGCTGTGAATGCACACTGCCAGCTCATGTTCACGCTCATGTTCATGTTCATGAAGATCTCATGTGACACATTTTTCTGAACCTTTATGGGCAAGAGTTATATTTGCCTCCTTGGCCTGTATCTTGCTCAAATGGCTGCATCTCACCATTGCCTTTGAGCTATCTTTGCTTTCGAGTATAATAACCTGCTCAAAGTAATAGCCCGCTGCAGATCTCTGATACATGGCTCCCACTATGCATGCACTGTGGAAAAATAGAAGCTTTCATTTTTCCAGCTTTTGAAATTTCATTTTAAGACGGTGTTTCTGTGTAGAAAGGGTAGATGCTCCCGTGTACGTAACTATCAACTGGAAAAGTAGCATGTGCCACACAACGTGGTGAAAGAAGAAAACTAAACACATTCCAAAGTGAATGCTCTGTTTCCAAGGTAAGGGGTGAATGTATTCCTTTTCATCAATCTTTCTTCCTTTCCAAAAAGGAAGGGCAGGAGAAACTGTGCCTACACGTTGGGTACTGCAGGCTTCAGCCAAGAGGTGGCGTTGGGATGCAGTGCAATGTTCTCTTACCAAAATGCCATCCATTCCTCAAAACCTGTCTTAACTGTAGCATGCTTGATGCCCAGAGACCCACGAAGCATTGATGGAAATGAAAAACGCAGTGTGGATTAGCAAGGAATGCAAAGGGCCAGAAGTCTGAGTTTAGACTGGAAAACTAAAGCAATTTATGCCTCCAACAATCATATTGCTTGAAGTAAGATATCAGAGTCCCACAGTCTGCAAATCTGTGTAAACACGTGTAAACACGAACCAAGTGCTTGATACAGCTATTAAGTTAGATCCTACATTAGCTATTAGTAGATGCTAGATAATATTGTGTTAACCACAATGATGCATGTTTTCAGCATGCATATGCCTCTTCAGAACACCTTTCATCCTAAAAGAAAAGTATTTCCAAACCAAACAAATGGAGACAGAGCTATTTTCAAACCAAAATGAAACAAAACTACTCACATTTAACACTGGTATGCAGACTCTTTGGTGCAGATGAATCAACAGCAGCTGTATTAACAAAAAGAAGGTTCAGCCCAATGAAACACTAACATTACAAATAATCATATCAAAATGGATAGAGATGAAACTGATGATCCTAAGGTGCTGGTGGTAATTCCGTGTGGGAATGTGGCACCAGTCTGCATAATATAAGCATTATTAACAATGTAGATCTACAAACTACTAAGTCCTATTGTTTCCCTATTTTCTTCCTATTTCCTGCAGCTATCTTTGCCAATGGTCATCTCTCAAAAGGTAGTACAGCTTAAATGTAGTGGAGTTAGTTGAGTTACACCAACCACAATTATATCAACTGCAATTAGATCAAATGAGGATTTGAGCTCTTCTCTTTATCAGCATAGAGTAAGTGCCTCAGCAGTGCTCCTGTTGGTTCAGTGTAAAACTGGGATCTGAATTTTGTGGCTTTTGCCCAAAATTAAGGTATAAAAGTAAGAGCCACTACAGCCACATCTATTAACTTTCATTTTAGTTTTCAATTTAAGGAAAGCTGTACTAGTTTTGTATTGGCATCTACTACTTCCTGGAAAGTTTGTATTTTAGGGATGAGTAGTACAGCTGAGATCAGCCGGGGGAAACAGCCAAGTGATGCTTGAAGAGCGAGATTCAAGTTGTCCCTAAGTTTCATGTCATCAGTTCATTATCTTTCTAGCAAGATGAGTGATCTAATTGTACGATTACACAGCATGTTATTTGGTTGTTTGGTTTTCATTATGACAGGTTAAAGCAAATAAGCTCCAAGGAATCAAGCCCTGTCCCTCTACTGCTGCAGTCTTCATTAAGTCATGTGCCCATACAGGAGGCAATATGGAGGGTAATGGAGCTTTATGTCTGATATTGTATGTACCTGGATACAACTGAGGTATATGAGTAAATACTATTTTTGACTGTGGAGGGAAAAGCAATCACTTAGAGAAGCTCAATGTTCGAGTTTCATTTGAAGGGCACTGACTCTTTTCCATCCAAGACGCTTCTGTGATTACTGCCAAATGTCACAGCAAATCTGAGTTTGTACAAGCACTCTAAACAAAGTTTCAGACGTGCAGGGCTAGCTACTGTCTAGGGTGAGGCCAAACAGGCTGTACTTTCAAAGGCAGCTGTATTTCAAAAGGATTGAAGAACATTTAAGAGGACACTGGAGAAAGCCTTTAGACAACCCTGAGCAGATTTTTCAGAGGCATGGCATCCTATCATCTCTAAGGATGTACTGAACATACAAGGATGCCAGAGTGGGACTCTTCATCAGGGACTGTAGCAATAGGACAAAGGGTGATGGGTTTAAACTTAAACAGGGGAAATTCAGGTTAGATATAAGGAAAAAGTTCTTTACTGTGAGGGTGGTGAGGCAGTGGCACAGGGTGCCCAAAGAAGTGGTGAATGCTCCATCCCTGGCAGTGTTCAAGGCCAGGCTGGACAGAGCCTTGGACCACCTTGTATAGTGTGAGGTGTCACTGCTCATGGCAGGGGTTTGGAATTAGATGATTTTACAGTCCTTTCTAACCCCAACTATTCTATGATTATGTGATTCTATGATTCTATGATATCCTTGCAATACTGCATTTATTTAAATGCATGTAAACATGTAGCTCTACAAGAACTACCTGTAGGAATGATGAAGCACTCTAAGAAGTAAAGTAAGTGTTTTAAGATTAAAGGTTTCTGGTCTAGTATGCTCCAAATCTGACTTTTGAGAACTATAACTTCACATAGCAAAACACCTAAGAATTAGATATTTTAGCCACTGGAAATTTAGGTTAGCACCTGCTGTGAGAAACTCTTTCCAACTTGACTGAATTCTGCTACAGACAAGCAGGACTGACATTTGAAATGCAGAAAATTGAAAGCTGCTTGGGAGCAAAGCTCTGGGCTCCTTTTATGCCAAGAATATCTCCTTTGCATTTTCTTCTGAGCTTTAAGAATGTAACAGACAAAAACTGCAAAACGTCTTTGATTTCTTCCTTGTACTTTTTGATCTTCACTCTCACATTTAGGATTCACCAGTTGAGAATAAAATTAACTTCAATTACATACAGCAGTCTCTGTGGCTCTTAGTCCTGACGCTTCTGTATGTGTATGAGCCCTGCAGTAGGCTATGAATTCTGCAGTCCTTAGAGTTCACTGTTTCAGTGGCATTAGCCATGCAAAAGCAAGAGTCACTTCAGTATGAAAGTATAACAGCACCAATTCAGCCTCCAGCTCCCAATATGAGTGGAAAGGTCATGAACCATAGCACGGTGCAGGTCATGAAAGTGAAATAGTGGTTCTGATAACATGATAAAACAATGTGCTAGATTGAGCTAGGTAGCTTAAATTAAAGCACTTGGCACTGCAAAATGACAAAGTGATTGGTCTCCTGGCAAAAAATGCAGTAGCAATCTCATCTGCTGTTCAACAGCTATGTGCTGTTATAGAGCTCACTGCATCGTATCAGTGTATTGTTTGGTTAGAAAGCCTTGGGAGCCCAAGGACCGGATGTTTTGCAATAACCTAACTATGGCTATGAACATGCAACTCCAGTTGTTTTCATCTGCCCCTGAAGCACCAGGAAGTTTATGCAGCTCCAGACAACTGATGTAGGACATTTTTTTATTCTGAATCTTATTTCTAGCAGTTTGCAGTTATTTACAGGAAGAAGAGTATTTGAAGAGCTCGCTCAGACATAAGTGCTTGCTAATGGAAATTCCTTCTAGATTATTTAGGAATGAAACTGTAACTTTCTAAATGTCAAAAGCTACAACCTCACTATTACTCTTCACTGGTTTTCCCCAATTAAATACCTGCCCTAGTTCACATTTTACCTTTCCTTTTAGTCAGCTACCATATACATCTAAACAGAAACCATTATTAAAATCACTTAGCAGAATTAAATAATATTTCCTTTGCTAACATGAATGTGTCCTTTTGTGAAACAGTTTGACTCTGTACGCTTCATGCTTCTTAACAGTTAGGACAAGATTACAGTCTCAGTCCTTGTCCCCTACATAATGTCCTACATATCTCTTCTTTTAGGGCACACCATGTTTTAAACTCTCCTACACCCTTTAAGTTAGTGACAGGAGAGGGAGGAAAGAAAGGGGGAAATTCAACACCTAGCCAAAACTAAGGGCAACCAACACACCCTTGTCTATGATTTCATCTTTCAGCTATGTAGATGTTGTCGTCATTAAAGACTGTACATACCTTTGGCTGACATCAGCTTCTTGTAATGAGCAGCCATGTGATCTTGAATGATGTACTGGTTGGAGAGCTTGCAGGAAAGCCCTGGAGAAAAAGCTGTAAGAAGGAAATCTCTCAGTTCATTCAACCGGGCAAGTGATGCTTCGTGCACTAAAGGCTCTAAAAACATTTGAATATTCATCTCTTCTTGCTTGAAATAAAACCAAGTCAATATTCATTTATTTATTTCAAAAAGTAAGGGTAATACAAAATGTAACATGAAAAAGTGGTAAATTATTCTCATTTTGTGTGGTTTTGGACACCTGAGAATTATAGCTTCCAATAAGTAATGTATGAGCCTTGGATATTATAGAACTCTGGAGAGTAATAGAGGATCTCACTGCTTAATATCTGATCTAATAAAAAGCATTTACATTTTGAAAGATTTAATACTAGAGAGTAGGACCAAGTAGTGTAAAAAGCTGCATATTAATATCTTGGTAATACCAGGCCTAACTCTAGCACTCCGTAGTGAAGGAAATGGACTGGATACACACAAAGGTAGAAGCAGGGCCAAAACAGAGCCAGAACATGGAACAGAAGTGTGTTACACACAGACTGACCATGACACTCCTCTGAATCGCTAACCCACAAGACTTCTCAGATTAGGAAGAACTTGTCTCTGTATCTGACATCAGTTCATTATCCCAGGAGAAAAACCCACGAAGCAGATAAGCGTTTACTCATTTCACACTTTAACCTGGCACTGGCCAAGATAGATCACTGTCTTTCAAGCTGTTTCTGAATATAAATATTATTTCTGAAATCCCTCTGTAATCATCAGGCAGGATTTGCAGATGGAAAGTTGCTAGCAAATAATATTAGCAACTAAACAGCATACTGGAGATCAGAAATTTAATGTGCCTTTGGCCTTCCGTCCACAGATACAGAAATAGCCCTTACACTGAGATAATCAGCCCATCCACCCTATTAAGATCTGGCTTTCTGACACAATGAAGTAAATGATTGTTTCATCGTTCATGTCCCCAATGTACAATTTCAGTTAATGTCTTAGTTTCAAAGCTTACATTTTGAAAGGGGAAATTGGGTTTAGAGTGTGGGAGTCCATCCTTCTAACCTCTCTTTGGCTTCTTTCTCGCTGTGCTGCTTTTTCTAGTCTAAATCTCCTGCCTAGCAAGTGAGACAGTGCTATAAACTGTATTTTCCCAGCTAAAGAGTTTGACTGCATTCAATTTATAGTCTCACCTTTTGAACAAGCACCATAAATAAGAGTAGGGCAGAACACCTATTGCCATATTTGTTGCTTCATTCAGTATTATTTACTAACGTGCTCCTGCAAGCGACTAAAAGCCTGCCCAAAGGGCACTGGCATGAAGACCTGCTTTCAGCAGCCTGCCCAGGAGCAGCATCACATCCCAACATGACCAGTTGCACACAGGTGGTGTTACTTTAGCTCCATCCATTCTGGTTTTCATTAAACACATAAGCACAGCCAGAGTGCTTATACGATGACACAAATAGGCACAAACAGAAGTAGTGACTCTGTGTTAGCTATAAATCAATGGAGAATTTGGTGCCAAATTATGTCCAAAATCTATTTATTTCTTGTCTCAATGAAATTTAGCATGAGTAGTATAGGTACAAGTATGGAATCCAGTACTTGAAGCAGACAAACATAAAGCTCATGACATTTCTAATCACGAGCTTTCATCACGTCTCCAATTTCAATCAGGGAAACCACTCAATAGGTGTCAGTACCTTACTAAAGAAATCCAATAGTTACAATCAGTGCTATTCTGCTTCAAAGCTTTCATGTGCTTGAGATTAGTAGTTACTCACTCACTTCCATAACTTTGAAAACTTAATTTTTCATTAATTTTGCCAGCTGTGCTGCAACCTGCTGCTTGCAAAAGCAACTGGAACAAGCTTTCCAGTAATATCCAGCACCATCCCTAGCTGATGGAAAGTGGGAAACTCTACTGAGCTCAAGGAATCCAATGCCCTAAATCACAGCAGCTAGAGGCTTTTGTCACTAAGGCAAAAAACCCAGTATTTTGGGAGATGCCCCAAATTTCTCCCTGATTGGCACTGTCAGCCTGATTTCAATATATGCAGCGAAGAAGACAGCATGGCAGAAGAACAATTTGATAATCCAAACAGTATCTGAGGATTAAAAAGGGATGGAAAATTCATTTATAAAAAGAATATTCTTCTCCAAATGAATTACCAGCCCAAATATGAAATGCTGGAGATATACAAGGCACTAGTAGTTTAATCTAATTTTTGATCTTAAATCTAACTTTATCCAGCATCCAGAAAATCACTACCATTGTGCAATAAACCACACTGTGGTTATTCCTATGTAAGGAAAAAAAACCCCACAGATTATTTTCTTTGCCAAAGACTTTCTGTTGAACTTTAGCAACTCATTTGGTCTTTCTGTGTCTTTTTGTCTTTCTGCAAAGAGGACATGAAAAAACACATCCATTTTCCAAGAAGATGTTTTAAGGGTAAAAACAATAAAGTGGGGAGATTTAGGGGTGGGCTTCCCCCATCCTTAGAAAGAGTGTTCTTATTTGACCCCTCTGGAGAGTTAACACTTTTTAACAGATTTATTCTTTCATTTTCCTTTGCATTTTTTGAAGAACTTCAAATTGAGGGAAAAGTTAAATAGAAGAAGAAATTTTCCAGAAATTTTTGGTAGCCCTGTTATGAGGCTCCCTTGATGGGGCAAACATATGGCAGGTCAGATTGAACCAGCCTTTTTTCGTGCTTTTGAAAGTCTTTCTAAACTTTGAGTAATAGTGTACTTTCAAGTCATTTATATCTTTGCTCCATCCCTGGCAGTGTTCAAGGCCAGGCTGGACAGAGCTTTGGGTGACACGGTCCAGTGTGAGGCATCCCTGCCCATGGCAGGGGGTTGGAACTGGATGATCTTAAGGTTCTTTCCAACCCAAACCTTTGTGTGATTCTATATATGAGCAAAGATCTTCAGGAAATACATAACCAAGAATGAGGAAGAAAGAACAGTGACAGCTCTCTCAACTCTGACTCTTTTTATTTCCTATTTTGTAATAACTTTCCTAGTAATTTATTATAGTCCTGGCTGTGTAGTTGTACAATGACTAATTTGCCTCCTTTCCACTGATTGAATTGCAAGAGATTACTTCTGCAAATCATGTCTGGAGAATATATCATGTCATATCATAAATCCAGTCATAGCAGTATTAAAGTTTGACTAATACACAATGACAGTGATAAAACGTGTCTTTTCCATGAAGCTGGAAAACAACAATATGCTTTTGAAAACCACAAGAAGTGACTTTGCTCCTCACTAGATTGCTCATCCAAAGCCACTACTTTTTGGCTCTTAGAGGAGCTTGTTCTCAAGAACATGTAGAGTATTTTAGCCTTTAAAAGACCAGTATAACTGCAGAGCTGAGATAACACAAATAGTTTATACCATTGCTAACTGCTAATTCCTACAAGTGGAAATTTCACAATGGGGGGACAATGCTACATGTACATTTAATAACAAAAAATCTTCAGTGATATTTAAGCCTCAAAAGCTTGGAAAGATCAAATTCTTATCTACCCTTCACCTTACCAGGAAGTGGGAACCATCTCTACAGCATCCTTGGTTTTGCCTTTTGTAAACAGAAGTATCCATCTAGCATTGCAAGGAAAGAGCTATCTCATACCATAAGCAGAAGTTCACAGTTATGGTCCTTCACCTGTATCTGTGTACTTCCTCATCTTGTATTAGAGCCAACATTTGAAGGAGAGAGGGACCACCTCTTTGCTCTGTGTTTGTCTCATGCTTAACAAGGTAGAGTATTTGCCCATGGCTATGGCCACAGGGCTTGCTTCAATGCAGATGAATATAATAAGCAATGAGACAGTCTCTCAGCAGAATGGCCCAGTCAGTGTTTGAAAAACATTGAGCAGATCCTCCTTCTTTGGTTCAGTTGCATAGTTACCTCAAGCTGCTCCCCTTCTGGGTAAATATTTCAGCCTATTTTCAGCTACAGGAAGCACTAGTAGGCATTGAGCTTTGGCTTCTGCTTTGAGCATCTAACAGTGGTGTCTCTGCTTCTGTTCCCTGCAGAAAATATATGTATATTCCTTTATACAGGAAGCCAGCATGACAGACTGCTGAGGTGTCCTCCTCTCAGTCCTTCGGGGTTCCTTTGGAAAGGTGGGAGGAGAAAGATGGCAGTAGAATAACACCCTGTGAGCCCTTAAATGCAGCACTCCCTGTGTGCAGAGAGTAAAATGTCTCTGACTGCAGCTGGGGTTTGTCAAGGGAGGGACAAAGGACAAACTGGACAAAAATGGAGAGTGATGATGCTGTCTTTGCCAGCATTTAATTAAGGGCTCAAACTATATGGACTGGGAGAAGGTAGAGTGGAACAGCATTTCCAAGAAGGGAAGCTTCAGGCAGAACAGCTTTTCAATATTCTTTTAATAGGTGCTTTGTAAAGATCCTGATAAGGAAAGCTGATTGCATGAATTAAGAAGGTGATTTTTGTAATAGCAGATCTTAGAAGCACTTATCTACTTTATATTGTTAAAATAATAAAATATATGTTTTTTAATAATCTTATATTCAAGCTCTTATTTCAAAACTGGAAAACACAGGTATCTCTCACGTAATAATTTGGATACTTACGGCTACTTTTGAGACTCATGTGTCCTCTGAAAGGTCCCATCATGGAGTATGTAGGCACAATGGCTATCTGGAATCTTTGGTAAGGAAGTAAAATGTATTAGTTACATATTATGGAAGCATTAAAAACTATGATTATCTTTCTGCAGATCCAATGGGGATTACAGAAAAGTCATCTCCTGGCCAGAATGTTCCACTACAACTGATACAGGTATGAAAAGGCTGGTACTTTTGAGTTTACTTTCCCAACCACATTACTTCTGTTTGTTGTAATTCCTACCAATTAGTGGGACTCTTTTGACCAGATACTCTGAGAAAAAGATCTCTGTTACAACAGCATCTATGGGGCAGTTTTCTGCAGGCCACAAAAATGAGCCATGGCATTGTGCAAACGTCACGTATTTTGCAATCTGAAAGATCATCTCTGCTAAACATAAATCTTCAAGTGAAAAGAAGGAGGAGCTCAAATGCTACTGTGCTGCTTGTGCCCAAAGGAAACAGTGGGGGATAAAGCACAACGTTAAAGTTTTCCTAAAGATACAAAATAAGATAGACTAACATCCATACCTAGAAAAGCCACAGTGAAGTAAGCATACAAGCCTCCTCTCATTTTAAATTAAGGTCAAGTTTCAAGAACACAAATCCCAAACACATGTAATTCCACCCATTTTATGAAGACATGTCCCAGTGCTGACAGCTGAATTCATCTCAGATGGGTTGAACGGTAAATTTTTCTGTGTGCCATAACAGCTGCAGGAGCCAGCTCTCCATTTCAAAAGCCACTTAGGTTCACAGGAGTCAAACAGACATAGATTCAGAGAAATCCAGGTTTCAGTCCCTACCTGTGCAGTGGTGTGGTTTTCAACACAGTCATGATCCTAACTCCAACTATAATCAAGGAGAAGCTGGTATGCTAATTTGCAAGTTTGAGCCTGTAAAACTAAACATCAGTCCTCATTTCTAACTAGCTTCTAACTTAGTGAAATGATTTGTCTGTATGCAAAAGTTCCAGCAATAATTTGAACTATAGTTTAAATAGACTTTCTCCAATTGAAAAACTTATTTTAGTTCACCTTAAACCTATTCCTGGTTAAGGTGAAGCAAGCCAGGCATCAGTGCAATGTAAATACATACGTAATCTTCTCCAACAGATAAACCTTATCACTTTAAACTCACACCTAAATGCCACTGCTTCTTTAGCAGATAAGCCAATTGGCATACAGGAGCCTAAAGCTCAGCAGCTTTATACCCCAAAGAGTTGTCTACCAGCAGAAGTTCTTAACTGTGAACTGAAATGCCTGATTAGATTTGTGAGTTACAAAGGAAACATCTCCTTAGAGATGATCCTGAGTGTCAAAGGACAAGCCAAGCACCATCAGAACTAGAAAAATCAATGCAATTCTTTCCTTGGTTTCAAAGCAACAAAGTAATTTGGGGTAAGTACCAGGAGTATCTGACTCTCTGACTAAACAATGCAATGTTTACTTGTGTTTTCACACAGATTTCCAGATAATTTTTGGCTTCAGAGGCATTGCTGCAGCTTTGGAAACCTTGTGCTATATAGCTGTGTTATACAGCTATACCCTAAGGGCAGAGACTTCAGAGACTGATTACAGGGTTTGGATCTTGCTTTGGTGACACTCTGGTGACACTGTTCTTCAGAGAGCACACTTTCAGTCAGGTCTCATCACAGGTAGTTTAGGTTTTGGTGAAATAATCTGTTCACAGTGTTCTTAACTGTAAAAAAGGACCCAGATAACAGAGCATTATAACTGTGTTCTGAGAAAACAAAAGCACAAGCAATGCTTTTTTGGCTCAGGCTCTGCCACCTTAGACTTCAGGCTTAAAGCAAACACACTGTGAAATAAATGGGAGCTTTTCCTCTGCGCCTGTATTTCTAATTGGCATGGGTCCCTAAGTTAATAAAATCACCAAAAGGTCAGCTTCTTTTTTTGTCTTTTGGAAACATACTTCTATAGTAACAACAGGATATGGACAAAGGAAGTCACTGCTCTTAAATCCAAGGTAGCAGATCAAAACATTTAATTATTATGGTTTTATTTATTTAGATATATTCCTTATGCATTTTTACTCTTGTTTGAAAACCAGTGGAACTTAGTCAACAGCTTCATATATACTGGCTAAAGACTTAAAAGCAAACTAACTTTGACACACCTCACTGTATAGTAATAGTACTACTAATAATTTTGATTCTTTAATTTCTTTCAAAGTAAAATTTATCCATAACTAAATCCTTACTTTTGGCTTTTTCTTTTTCTGTCAGGCGTCTCTGAAAGGCATCACAGGTAGGACATTATACTGGAATGAGCTCATAATCATGTTCAACTTTAGAACAGAGAGTAATTCCTTATCTTGTGTCCAATCCTAGCATTTTAGCTCAACAACTACTCCACTATGATTTCAAGTGGAAAATCATGAGTGGGAAACTGCTATAGGAGAAGGCAGATAAAAATGGAACAAACACATATCAAAAATTGCACTTGTTTTACCCAAATACATTTAATTTAGTATGTGAATGCTATGTGTAACATTTAACGCAGGGACTAAAGAGTTGTTATGATTGAAAACAGTCACAATAATGGTAGGTATTTAAGTAACTAGTGCTTTATATCTGCATTTATAGCAGTGCACTTACGTGCTAACGCTGCTGTTGTTCAAACCCTGGTGGCGACTTACTGAAGTCTTAATCAACCAGGCTCTGTACAGACAGTCCCTTGCTCATTAGGGTACCCAGTGAGCTTCCAATGTTCACCTTCATCTAAATATCTAATACGTGGAATTTTCTTTCTCATGAGAAGATGCATTCCACGGTTTCCATAGATGCAGCCATTTTTGACTTATGGAGCCCTAAAAGGTTCTAGAGACAGTGTGTTTCCCCATGGAAAGCCATTCAAAAAGAGAATTATTTTGGCAGAAGGCATTTTGAAAACCAGTGAGATGACAGTAGAAAACCTATTGTGCTCAAGTTATGATGATTCATTGTGGTCCAGTACCGCACAGAGAGCCAGAGCACATTCAAGGTGATGCTACAAGCAATATGCTCCAGTTTACTTCATGATCAGGCCTTGAATGATGAGCACCCTTTTCCAGAGCAAAGTATCTGATAGTGAAACAAGGGAGCTACCTGACGGAGTTTCTGAATCTGAAGGGTACAATCTCTTAAAGGCAGTAATTCAGCAATGTTCCTTACCACAAGCTTAAATCATGCGTGCTTTGTAAAGCCATACTTTAGTACTATTGCTAAAATAATTCAGCAGCTATGCAGATGGTATTATTTTTGCCTTTTCTTAGAAAGAAAACAAGAAGTATATAACCTTTGCAGGACTGGTGTTAATTTTTGTGAAGCTTTTCTTTGGAGCCATAGCAAACTGAGAGACAGCAGAGCTTCTGCTTACACTCAGGTACAGCAACAGAAGCTGATGTGTTTTGGGATCATTTCAGAAAAGAGGAGTTTCCTAAAGCTGTCATAATTTATGCCCACCTTTGTTGAACCTCTGTAAGACACAGTAGGGAATCTGTACCACATAATCAATAGTTACCTATCCAACTGTAATTTAAGCTCTGATCTTTGCAGCCATTTAGTGAAAGAATGAGTCCCAGATCTAATAGAGACTTATTTCTATTTAATGATGTGTTTTGTTGTCATCAAGTCTCTTCAGTTTCTTGTATTTTCCACATTTTTATAATAGCCAAATCTGTCTCGCTGTAGCAGCTATTTTATTTGTGCCAAACTGCTTTAATTTCACTTATATGATTGTAAGAAAACAATTTGATTACCAAGTGTTATATTCTGCTACTTTGCATCACTCCAGTTCTTCTAACAGGAGACCCAAGCTGTAAATTACATGGAAGAAAAATCAGATTTTTCTTACAGCAGACAGATAGATACTAAAATGTTCTTTTATATTAAACGCAGCACACCTAAAAAAGGTGACAGTAAAAGTGCTGAAAGGAAGTTACAGAAAAAGAGAGATGCTTTTTTACGCTTTACCTAATAATAATACACACCTACAACATGACACTGCTAACTGCATTCACAGAAGACAGACCCTTTCTGGATATTTTGAATTATGTACATACCGCTGAGTATGTACTGATCTCACTGATGCTGCAGTGAGAGGGTCACTCTCCAAAAACAAGGGTTTGATTCTGTAGCTTTGCACTTGCCTCCAGCAAGCTGCTGAGCATCAGCTCCCACATCTGCAGGGCTTTGCATGCTGCAAGATTCGGCTGTCAGTACAAAAGTCAGTGACAAGTGCAGCTATTAAGAAGGTTTCAACAGCAGTCTAGTCTCCTGTTATTCACTATGATAGAATATTCTGCTTCACATATTCATACTTAAGGACTTACCACTGCATACTATAGCGAGTTAAAAATTAGGCATATGTTAGGCCATTCCCATTTATGGGAACACGGAAAGTTTAGCATAGATCTGAAACAGAAATAGATCCGATCATCTTCTCAGGGGTTTTCTACTGAGTTTGGGTTGAAAGGAGCGGACCTTCATTCACAGCAACACAGAACTACGATCTCTGAGATATGTATATGGCATTTAACATTCAGAACTGATTATTAGATATACATTATTTGTCAGCATCCCCAAATCCACATGAATTTCCTAGTGGACTGGAATCACTCTGGGTCTGTATTTGAATACCTGTAGCATAGAAGCCTGTGTCCCTCACCAAGCATCTGATATGAAAGCAGCATTCTCAAACTTAATCCAGAATGTTAAAACAAACCCAACTTGACAATTGTTTGTGCAACATTTTCGGTCAGTTTGTCAAAGTAGGAATAGTTCTCAAAGAAAGAACAGGATTTCACTGAACTTCAGAAATAAAACCTGCAAGGAATCCTTTCAGCTCACTTGATGGGCTGTGGGAGACCCAGGACTCCAAAGCAGTACCACATATGGCCTCCTCTTTGTTGGGCACTGAATCCACTCCAACACCCAACATTTCCAGGCTTTGTGGAAGTACCGGGGCCATCCTCTCTCTCTTGTGGACCCAAAAGCTACACATCATGTTTGGCTTTCCAGTTGAGCAGCTGGAAACCT